ACTGGCAACTCAAAGTTGCCGAGAATGTCGGCCTGCTGGCAGCCCGTCTTCTTCCGTCTTGGCCGAGACTTAACCTTGACGGAGTGGAATTTATCGCCCCGGCCCGCGAGGTGGAGCCGCCGCCCCCCCCCCCCCCCCCCCCCCCCCCTGTGGAGCAGCATCATCATGGGTGGGTGTGGTGTGCCACCTTCTGGCGCTGCAGCACGCGTCTCCGATGTCGCCGCCAGTTTGAAAAACCCGGTGTTTCAGGGTGCTCGGGCCAGCTCCCTGACGTGGCCCTCTTCCCCTCTCTCCTCTCCCCTCGGCGTGTCACACATTAGTGGGTGGGCGCCGGCGTGTCGCAGGGTGTGGTTTTACAGTCGTCGGACGACGGTCTTGTTGCAATTGTTCCGATAGATTTGGTGCCACATTTTTGCGCCTCCTCTCCCCGTCCCTCTCCTTTCACAGGACCTCCAGGGCTTATCATTGAAGTGACGGCTGAATTGGACTCGCTGGGAAGTGGCGCGCCCCGGGGAGTCCACCGAAACCGACGGCGAGATGTACCATTATTATCGGGGCCTTTTCCTGCCTCCCCACGCTCCGTCGTCCCTCCTGTCCCTCCCCGGCGAGATCTGCCGGGGGAAGGGGGAAAAAGAAGCAGCGTCTCGCTTGAAGTCGGCACGAGGGTGTTCGGCAGATTCGTTCCCGTGCCGTCTGATCTGACAGATTCTCTTCCCCCGCTGCGTCCCGAGCTGCCGGAGGGGCCGCCGTCGGCGGTCTGGGGAATGGCCATAGCAAAGCGGGCGCTTACCTTGCAACCCTGGCCCGTCCCTCCGGAACGAGAGCGTGTGGAGCGCAGTCTGCACGTGAGAGAAAGATCGTCCTTCATTATTCTTCTCATTGTGCTTATTGTGCATCTTGCCCCACACATCCATATCTCATATTCTCGTTAATCTTCGTGTCCCATTTCCGGCGATAGCATTTACAGTCTAACTGGTGTTCTGTTGCGACGGGGGACATGTGCGCTCGCGGGGGTTCCAGTTCCCGGCGGGAGGAAGCACTGTTGGCAACGCTGTTCGGTCGAGCCCCATGGCGGGAGAGCTGCGGTGCGGATGATATTGTTCGGTATTGTCTTCGAGTGTGTGATGCGCGCGGCGTGCCCAAGTGTAGCATGTTGTGCCGAATGCCCCAAGACAACGCTTCACGTTGTGCGGGTTTGTTCATGAAGGCACTGTTGACAGATACGTACGACACCTTGTTGCGACGACGACAGGGCGAGAAAACATGGTTGGCGTTCTCATGTTGCTTCCACATGTGCTCTGAATGGTTGTTGCCCACGCACATGAAGTGGAGACGGTCTAGTAGCATTGTCGAACCGTTGTGGGCGTTGCTTACTTCTTGCCGTGCTCTCTTATGGCTCGCCGGCCGACGCAACCACCGGTGGTCACGCCAAGCAGCCCTGCTGCTAGATGAGCGGTGCCGGTGGGCGCTGTGGCGAGAAGACCGGCCGCCCCAATGGCCTGAGTCCGAACGTGCCCGGGCCGTTTCCAGTTTGGTGCACCTCCAGTGGCTCGCAGTGTCTGGTGCGCCCAATGCGCACGAGACGTATGGAGCCACACAGACAGATTGCACAGCGCTGTATAGTTGGATGTCGCACTCGTCATATTACGTTGGCATTGCTCACGTGCGCCGCCCGCGGCAGCGCAACGCGGGAGGCATTGCGTGCAGATGGCTAGAACACGCCGTCCTATTCGCACGACGGCACATGCAAGACAGTGATAAACTCCGGTATCGCATCATGCGGCGCTTGCGGCTGGAGGAGACGTTTTTCTTCGTTGCGAGAGCGGGCCCGTCTGCCCGAGTGCGCGCCATGGAAACCCTCGAAATCGCTTCCCGCAGGCCCCCCGCTAACGTGGGTGCCCACGACGGCAGTGACCGCGTAGCAGGGCCAGAGGGGGCAGGGTCGCGGAAGCGAGGTCGACCGCCGAAGTGGTGCCGAGCTAGGCGCGGCAATCAGTCATGTTGTCGTGGTCCGTTCGATTCGGCACCAGCACGGATCGCTATTGCTCATGGTTCCCGTGCCCACAGCCCCGAGGGAGGTGACAGGTCTCGTGCACTGCCCCAGGGCGTTGGTGAGCGCGGGAGTTTCCAAGAGCAGTACTGCGCCACTTTGCGGCGCAGAGTGGCCGTTCATGGTACTCACGGCCCAATCGACATCTATAATCCTGTTTGGGCCGCCTGGTTCTCTACGTGGTGCGGGACGCAGGCGGGCTCTGTCGACTGGGCCCTCTTGGAACGCAAATGGCAGAGCGCTTGCGGTCCTGCATCGGCAGCCCCGCACGTGGGCCGGCTGCAGGACCCCGGTCGGAGGCTCCTTGCAACCCGACGGGTGAACGCCGCCCTTCGTGAGCGCTCTCTCCCCCCAGTAGGGGGCGCGGTTGTTCGGGTCCCAAGGGATTGCATGAAGCGCGTGATCAATCGTGTTGTGTTGGACAGAGCCCAGCGCGAGTTCCAATTCAACCGCACAGAGCGTGTCTGGTTCCAGCAACACGTGCGTTTTGTCAGCATGGCTGAGAGAAAGCATCGTGACAAATGGAATGCCGCTGCGGTGAGCAAGCGGCTCCAAGCGACCGATGTTCTCAGCGATGAAGTGTCTGCGCAAGTTGCCGCGTGCGGGGGTGGCGGCATGGGGCGGATTGAGAAGCTATGGGACGTCCCGTGCAGGACGAGCAGGGCAGAGGATGCTCAGAGTGCGTCCCGCTGCGTGCTCGACGCCTGCAGGCGTCTCCGCTTCAGCCGGAACGGTGCCAACGCTGCTGCTCGTCGCGCTTCCCAGGAGTTGCCTGCCGATCCCGTGTATCGCGCAGAGCAAGCCCAGTGGGCGCGCACAGCCCGTGCATACGCGGACTACACCAGCGATATGCATCGGGGAGAGCACGAGGCGCTGGTACCTGACGACAAAGAGAAGAAGTTCATGTGGCGCATGCCTGTGGGCTGTTACCTCTGGCTGCTCGTGCAGTATGCCGTGATGGCGCCGTCGTGGGTCCTCACGTCCATGACGGTGGATCAGGCAAACACGAGGTGTTGGCATGTGCTCAATTCTCTCCTGTCTCCGGCGCTGCAGCGTTTCTTGGGCTTCGCTAAATACCGGCACGTGCTACCCTATTATTATGCCACGATTAAGAGTAAGTGCTTCAGCGCTGGGAGGAAAGTGTGCTCGAAGCCCTTGCACAGTTGCGTCCGGAAGGTCGTTTCGTGCGCGTCGTGGCCAGGGCGCAAACGGTGGCGGTCCATCCACCGTGCCCTGCAAGCTGTCGTGCAGGCGCACGGGGGGGGAGACGAAGTGTGGTCACTGAAAGCGGCTTGTCCCACCATGGAAGCCCGCATGCGCGCGGCCCGCGTGCAGTCGGGCCTTGCGAGCTGCGCTCGGTGCGGGTGCCCCAAGCCAACGTCAGTTGGGCTCGTCGCCGACGCGGGCCAGTTCTTCGAAGCTGTAACACCTGCCCAGGCCATGGCGGCAGCGCACGTTGTCATGCGCCGGTGCGTCGAGGCTACGGGCAAGGATTCGGTCACTGTGAAGTTTGGGAGGCGCCGTGCTGCTTTCATCGGCGGTTCTCCCGCAGCCGCGGTGGCCGGGTCGTGTTGCTTCGCCATGGCAGACTTGTTTCTCGCGTTCGGGGCGTGCATGCTTACCACCTTCTGCTCGCTGGGCGACATGGTTTTTAGCCTCCGCGGGCTACCCATCGGCGGAGTGCTATCCAAGATCGCATCCAGCTGTGTCTTGGGGTTGGAAGAAGAAGCGTGGGAACTCTCGCCGCAGCGCCGTGCGCCCCTCGGGTTCGCGGCAACTTCACCTTGCTGGAACCAGGAGGTTGCGCGAGGCAGGTACGTTGATGACATATTTTGGGCGTCTGGGGTGTACTGCCACGCTTGCCTGTGCGTGGCAGTAGAAAGAACGTACAGCGTGAAGTTTGATGTTGAACAGCAGTCAAGCGTGGTTCAATGGTTGGACGTCAGACTTCACGCTGCGGCACACGTGGCGCATGAAGGAAAAAGCCTGGCGGAGCCCACCGCCGTGGGCTCTGTGCGACCGCGCCGCCGCTAGTCTGCTCCGGGGTCGTTTCAGCAGGTGGGCCGAGGTCCCGCTGGATGACGGCATGTGGTGTGAGGCGCTGATTTCCGTCCTCATCGGATTTCGCGACTCCGGCTGGGTGCGCAAACGGGCCAGGGGGGTAGCGTTCAGAGCTTTGCCGGCCGTGCACCCAGATCGTCGCCGGATGCTCAGCCGTGCAGTTCAGGCGGCGTGGGCCCAAGCCGGCGGGCGCTGAGCGCCGCTGCGTTCCACATTCCATGTTTCGTGACCCGCTGCCGCGCCGCAGCGTGCAATCCATGTTCCGCCTCCCTGTCGCGGTGGCGGCCCTCTGCTGGCGCGCCGCAGGCGCGGTGCGAGGCGAGCAGCGGTCCGGCAGCTGGCAGCCGCGCTACGGCGGCGGCGGCCAGGACAGCCGCGGGTACGGCAGGGCCGACTGGCGCCAGAGTCACGACACGGACCGGCGCCTGGACAGGCTCGAGAGGCTCGAGCTGTTGCACTTGGAAGCTCGGGACGACCACAGGGGGGGCGGAAAACATAAGAAGGATAAGAAGAAAAAAAAGGCAAGAATCACACTCGCGACAGTTCCTCTTCCACGTCGAGCTCGTCGTCGTCGTCGGGCCGGGACAAAAAGAAAAAGAGAAAGAAAGACATGAGAAGGGACAGGAGCCGGGACCGTCGTAAAGACAAGAAAGGCAAGAGAGAGGACGCTGCCGGTCTGCCGGCCGGAGACATGGCAGAGCTGCAGGAGTTTCGCAGGCAGGCCGAAGTGCTGCGGATCCGGCAGGAGGTGCAGGACGCCATCGCCTCCCAGGGCGCGCCGGGGTCCGGGGGCACAAGGGGCGTGCCGCGCACGCCTCCTCCGAGGGAGCGGCAGCCGGAGCAGTTCACACCCAAGACGGCGAAACTCGCGGTTGCTGAGGCGCGCGTG